ACACTAAGTTGTGATTTAACAACTCCAGTTTCATGGGAGACAAACTTTTAAAAAATGTCAAGTTTTATCTTTTTTTTTCCTCCTCAGTTACCTGCTATAGCTTGTACTGTTCCTGATATTGTAAAAATACTCTTCTTCACAATGCTACGTATACAGCAACCCAATACTGACGTAAAGACAGTAAAGACCATCAGCGCTATTCCAAAAGCAAAGAAAATTAGGGCTGCCTTCCAAAAATTGGGGAACTCTTGAGATGGCATTCCAAAGCTCGTTACAAACGGTGCACAACTATCAGTGAATAGCTGGTCTACTTTGTGAAGCTTTGTACATCGGTTATAAATACCTGAAAAAAAAAGTGTTTCATTTTAGTAACATTTTGTACGAAATAACTCGACATAATTTAAGTGGGTTTGAAAATTTGTAAAACTAATGTCTCAAAGTACACCGTTTATTGTTATTACCAATTTCTTGTGTGAGATTCCACACTGCTTAAGGGTATACAAGTATTGTTCATCAAGCCAACAACAACTAATATTACCAATTTCTTGTGAGTTTCCACACTGCTTAAGAGTATACAAGTATTGTTCATCAAGCCAACAACAACTAATATTACCAATTTCTTGTGAGTTTTCACACTATTTGAGGGATCTACAAGTACTATTCAGCAATACGTTCATTATCATTACCAATTTCTTGTGTGTTTTTTCACACTGTTTAAGAAATCTACAAGTATTTTTCAGCAAAACGTTCAATATTTTTACCAATTTATTATGTGTTGTCACACTAATTAAGGAATCTACAGACACTTATATATGACGCCTCACAAGCCAGGACCATTAAGGAATATAAAACAATGTACTAAGAATGTTGATGATTCACAAAAATCTCTTCAAAACATATTTATAATTCTACATATCAAAAACTTGACACAGTTGTAGAATTTCCATTTATACATGTTCTTTAGAAACTACTGGGGGTAATTTCCATCATTCTGTATTCTAATGAGTTTATAAGCATCTGAAGGCTGAATACTAAACTCAATATCAGATGCTAGCATCCTTTATCCTGTTGCATCCAATTTCTCAGGATGTGTATTTAATAATTAAAAGTCATAATTAAATTTTCAATACAATAAATATATGAAAGGTTACAGAATAAAACTGAACACTAGCAATATAAAGAACAAAGACAGACTCTGGAATATTTTCTCAAAATAGCAAGTTGTTTACTGTGCTTATATTCACCGTTTCTCCGAGCAACAATTACAAACGCTAAATTGTCCTCTTAGCTTTAAAGAACAAAGCGCCACCTATGGAGTACATCACGTTAATGTTTTAATACTTTTTTTTTAATGTGATTTACCAAATGTTTTTCATTCCACGTCTGTTTTACTGTTATTATGCAACGCTAAATTTGATTATCTCTTGTAAAAAATAAAGAAACAGAAAAACTATAATTACTAATTCTATTAAACAATGATATATTAAATTGATGTTTAAATGATTAATATTTTGTTTGAATTAGTATTAATCGAAATTTAGTAAATCTAGCTCGTAAATATTATGCGTGGAAAAAGAAAAATCAAATAGAGCTAATAGAATAAATAATTATAAAACGGACACCTGATTATTTGATTTTTCTTTTAAAATTTAACTAAGGTTGTTTCTAAAAGAAATGTATTTTTTTTAAATTATTCGATATGATAAGGGATATTTTTGAAGCCCAAAACATCTGACATTATGATACACACTGACAAATTTGTAGACAACCAGGTTTGTTTGTTTTTCGTTTGTAAAACGAATCAGAACGAAATGCCAAATGCTCTTTTATCTTACCTAATGTTGGGGAATACATTTCATCACTGTTCGTTTCAGTGTGTGTTCTAGATCTCAGACCGGGTTTTCTTGGTGGTCCGATCAACCAGCTAGGCGTGATCACGGCTGCTACCATAGCTAAAGATGTCGCTATCGTCAACAAAGTCCATAGCAGAGTTCGAGATGTTACAATGACATAACACATGATGGAAGAGATTCTGAACTTGTTTCTTGGAACGGGGTTCTGGGCAGTTATCACACACACACAAAAAAAAAATGAGTCCAAAACTATTTCAAATGTTGAAAATTATAAATACTAACAACCTAGACTAAGAAAAAAAAATTAGTTAAGAATTCTGTCGAGTTATCTCCTTTTTGTTTAACGTGGTCTAACCTACTATCTCTATATATAAAGCACAAAACTGTATGTGTCTGTCTGTCCATTGTCTAACAATTCCTAGGTCGCTGGGCCAATCTCAACCAAACTTTGTGGGATGATAGTCTGGAACAAGAGGCATGTTAATGGGGGTTAACAACCCTCTCCATCCTCCATTATTGAGCATTTATTATCTTTAACGTAAGTTAACTACATTCATATATAGCGCCACGTTCTTATACCAAACCAAAAAAAAATCTTTATTATGTTATAAATAAACTGTGTGAAAATTAGGATTTTTGCATTATTTATTGTAGCATCCACCCCCACATTTCTTTAAGTTTATAACTCGAACAAAGGACGGGTACCTTAGCTTGTGGTTTATAAAATGAGCTTATAACACAAGTTTGGATTATATTATTGGGTGTTTTGGGCAGGTTATTTTTGCGTTTCATACTTTTTGTTGTGTTACAAACAGACATATGCTTAATTTGGAATGTGCTGTCTAATTAAGGCCAGAAATATTACGCTTTTTCTTCTAGATTACTTTATTTTTTGCGGTCCTAAATCTGAAGTACACTAAATAAAACAAGGGTAATTTTTAGAACCTTGTTCTTGCTGTTTTTAGTGTTAAGTTACATAATGAGCTACTTTCGCTCTGTCTGTCATAGGGAATCGAACCCCGGATTTTATCGTTGTAAGTCCATAAACTTACCGCTTCCCCCTGGGGGACTTTTTGCAACAATTGGATGTTATATAACGCCCAAATATGAGTATGCCATTGAGATTACTAGATAAGTGGTTTTTGTTGACTGTACAAATAGGTTGTGCAAGAAAACCTAAGAACCTTCCCATCACTAATTTACTTGTATGTAGTACACGTTCTGAGTAAGTTTGTTTGTTAT